AGCTCAGCTTTGTTCCGGATTGATGAGACTGCGTGTAGCGCATGCTGGGATGGATGCATTAGTAACTCATAACCATATTGTTTTATGGCGGCTTCCGTCTAGGCAGGCCACAAAATAGATGAGAGAGGGTTTGCGTGGCAATGAATCATCTTTTTCAGAACAGTGTTAGGCGATACATTCCTACATTCCTTGTAATACTCGCATTTAGCGTAACTGTTTGTCATATTCCTAACATATTGTGATACACTTGAAACGCATATATCTTTCCAACGTTGTAGCCAGCAGATTTAGTGCTATTTGACAGCGGTGTATCGTTAGATGTGCTACGGTAATTTTCTGTTTGCTGGCAAAGTAACGCGCTCTAACAAATACTCGCGTGTAGCGTAACTGTTTATCTTATTCCTAACATATTTTGATCACTTGAATTGAAACGCATATATCTTTCCAACGTTGTAGCCAGCAGATTTAGTGCTATTTGACAGCGGTGTATCGTTAGATGTGCTACGGTGATTTTCTGTTTGCTGGCAAAGTAACGCGCTCTAACAACTTGTTTTTCATCGTTCCAGTTTCAATTAACGCTCCCTTGATATCTAGAGGTCTGCCAATTACAGGCCTGCTATGAAAAACAAAGGTTTTAATGCAAAACTGACTAGCTATTCATCTGGGGATGGCTTCTCGAGCTTGATGTATTTTATCAGGTGGCTGACACGTCTACCCATGCCTGCTCAACGATAAGCTATTGGTACATGTCCATCCCAGTTTTCTATCATTCGTTTATGTCGCTTTCTTTGAACATTTGCTCAATACTTAAATCGTATCGCCCGTTCCCTTTCCGTTTCAGTTTGCTGCAAATACGTGAGTTTAATTTACTTGTTTTTATTAACGTTATCTTCTTGATTGAATTCATTTTACGGACGTCTTCCCTTGCATTATTATGAAATCATTTTCAGATCTCTTCAATAACAAATTGGATACAAGTGTTGAAAGAGTTAAGCTCCTTTTCGCATTTCAAGGGATTTTCTTCATCTTGGCAACTGGTTACGAAATCGCTCGAGGATATAACCAATGAATTTATCCAACTGTTTTCCAGGGAGATGAGAGGTAACCGCTCTGCATAACTCGTTTCATCGCGCATAAATGCATACTCGTAGTTGTCGGTTGATGTGTTATCTGACTCAAGTAGACGGTAAGATAATTCATTGCTTATTGCCTTAGCGCTCGGTAGTCTAATGCCCACCTTTAACCCTATTCCTGGCGGGGGGGCCTCAGGAGCCCCCCCTGAGGTTTTTTGGCTATTTCTCCCAAACGCGTTGAGCTAGGAAGCTCAAATTTTCTGACTTTTCCTAAAAGGCTTCTACGCAACATGTCTGAAAATTTTGAGTTGATCTGACCTCAGGTCAGGTCACCAGAGGCGGTTTGGTGACCCTACCTCAGAAAAGTTTGCAATCACGCCAGAGCTAGAGTTTTTGACCGATCAATTTCTTCTCTTCAGGGTTTAGTTAGGGTACCAGTATGTGCAATTTGTATATCTCGGAATTTTGATATCGGTGACCTAAGGTCAGGTCAATTTCGCGACCTCCCCATTATAAGTCAATGGGGGAAAAATCAACTCCCTGTTTTTACCACTAAAACGGGTCGGAATGGCCCCATATACCATACATGACTTCATATACGATCAACCTTCACTACCTTGAGGTCTGTTTTGCTGTTGGGCAGCTGTGAGGTCATGTGACGTCATCAAAGGTCACCAAAGGTTTTTGGCCAATAACTCCGTACAGGAACAAGATACAGACGCGTGGATGGTCTCATTGTGTTCAGCTCGTCAAGACGCATCGAATGATATACATGATGACCTCGAAGTCACGTGATCTGAGGTCAACCTTTGACCTTGACCTTTCGAGGTCAACATATATATCATTCGATGCGGATTGACGAGAGGATCACGATGATGCCCTTAGTTTGTTCTTATCTTGACTAAATCGAAAGTTATTCGAGAAAAACTCTCTCCATATCTAGTGCCGCCATTTTGACTTTTTCGACCCCTGTGACGTCATCTTTGACCTGACCTGAAAATGACCTGTGTAAAAATTGTAGATCTTGGCCGTGCGTATCCGATGCCGTTTACCGCTTGTCGCTATCTTGCTTCGTTCTCGAGATCTCAGGGGGGGCCGAATCGGCCCCCCCCCGCCAGTTTCTTGTCCCGGCGGAGCCCGCCAGGAATAGGGTTAAGTGAACTATGATATTATTCGACTTAATGATAAATAACCAATTTTATCGTGTGCAGCGATTTGCATTTACGTCACTTTGTCAGTTAAATGCCTACACTAAGGATGTCATTGCGTTTCGTTTGTTCTCAGAACTTGCAGGTGCAATGAATTGCATCATTTTGAAAACATTCATTTCAGCCAAGAACTTTCATTCAAATGATAAATAGGAGTTGAAATTGAATATAGGACACACTACGGGAATTTGTTTCAAAGTTCTGTAGACATACAGTTTAAGTTTAAATATTCTGTTAGAAACATTGGCAATGTGTTGTGTACCATTCAACTTGGTCCCTTGTGGTTTTTGCTTGTTTACGCCGTCATCTATTTTCGTGATCTTAAGATGTTAAAAACAAGGTCAAAATCAAAACACCCGCCATAAGCCGTTAAGGAAGTGGTTCTGAAATGAGTGTTCCTTTGCAGACGCCGACTGGTAATTTAGACGGTCCTATTTCGTATCCTTCCTTTGCGAGTACCATTTCAGCCGAAATTCCGTCTGATCTTCGTCGTATCAACGCGTTCAAATTTGTGCCCGCCCTGGCAATGTACCTCAATTCAGGGAATTGCTCTCATTTCTGCAAATGCCAGCTCTGGAAAGGCCACTCCACTCTTGCAAGTGTTCATCGACGCCGTCAAATGAGCGTATGAAAGACGACCTCGCTTGTTCGCCGATCGCACATAGCGTATCACGAGATGCGAGCCATCTAAAGCTTCATTCGAAATAATCTACTTGTTCCTCTGAATTGTGTTATACTGCATGGTCACTCATTCAGCCCTGCAATGTGATTTTTATGTCTGAAATCAGTCGTCACTTGATCGAAAGTTACTCCTTTTGCATGTGCTCATCTTGCCCCAATATATGATTATGCATTTACCTCATGGCTTAAAAACTCGTCGCAAGGGACTTGCGTTTGGTTAAGCTGGAGTTAATTACAAAGCGAAGGCTTAGAAAACGATAGTTATGTCATGGCATGCTCTTATCCTGGCATTGCAAGGCGTATACAAATAAGGACTATTTTTACAAGCTTCTTTACTTGGACGTATGCATATAGTTTTCTGCGCCACATGGCTGTCCTGCCACGGGGCAGGGGGGGGGGGGGGGTCCTGCCACTAAGGGAGGGGAGGGGAGGGGGAACTGATACGAGATCTGGGTGGGGGACGGAGATTGACGGCTGGATGAAACAGTCCACCAAACGACCGTACCGCGGCCGTCCGAACCAGGCCGGGCTTTGTCGCTAACTGGCGCCCGGCCAGCCAGCTGCGTCCGGAAGCCAAATCGTGCCGTGCAGATCTGCCACCAAGCACTGTTTAATTTGCTGGACGATGTTAAATCGATGATCCGTATCCGGAAAGTACCGCTTTATATCTTTTGTTATATACCGAGCTGGCATTCATCCGGGCTGTAAAACAGGTATTAAAGAAATGTGGTGACCTACATGCAACGCGATATGTGTGCGCTATTAACAAAATTCAGTTGTGGAGCTCCATAGTTACAACTTGGAAAATGATTATCGTGAAACTTTCTGGTGTCATTCAATATCACTCTTCATATTTCTTACACTGACTGGGGTAGTTTAGGAAGTGTCTTTTATCGCCGTTGATAATTAATGAATTGAAGTTTAATTACAGCCTGTATGATACCACATCTATGCAGGCGGCAGGCTGTACACATGTTTACCTGAGACGCGGCGTGATGACGCTGACACGTAGTATAAGACAGTTGTGATACTTTTTCCGTTAGCAAGTTAGGCCCCGAGTTTCTGTTGTTAGCACACACGGCACCCGCCCTGCAAAAGGCCTGGCCACTGGGGATGGAGGTCCCGGGCACAAGTTACGGCTCTCCTGGAGCAAAGAAATCCACACTCTTGAACAATGCAAAGCCGAACTTGGCCGTTCAGAGAAATGTGATACGGGTTCTCTGTTTTGCAGTTGGATAGATGCGGTTGCATAGATAAGGCGGGCGCGTTGTGCTGTTGCTGGCATACTCCATTGAATAGGTTGAAATACCAATACCATCTAACACAGGAAAAGCCTTTGTTTTCTTTTCTCAGCAGGGTTTGCGTAAGCTGGGTCTAGTCGCATACTGCCTTCGTTATTTGCAAGTTTGCAATAAAGACAATGTAATGGTTTCATTCCAAATGAGGCTGCCACCTGAATGTCGCTATGCATCTCTTAGAAATGTGGGAGTTCAGCGGCTTGAGATGCTCAGACCCACTGTGGAATTACAGAAACGCACACTGCCGCCGGTCCCTTGAGCTGTGTGGTGTTGACCGTGAACACACAGTGTTTTAGTCGAGCAGTTTACTAACACCACATGTTGTGAAGCTAAAGTAGGTAGTCGCCTGCGTAATATGGAATACACTTGCTAAATGTATCTTACATGTTTTTTTCCTAAAGCTATTCCAGATTTTAACACGTCTTTACGGATGTCGGCCCCACCGTCTTTTAATTTCGTTTTCAAACCATTATGGGCGTTTCCTTCACTGTGAGGTGTGTCCATTCAAGGACTCCGTTTCCCTCCCACGTCCAAGTTTTGTCACACCTCCCGACTTACTTGACCCTCGAGTTTCTCCCGAGATCAAAAGTTGCTCCTGATTTTCGACTTCAACTACTCCAAATACTCGACTCACCCCGACTGTCCTGTCTCAATAGTCACTCCCCACTCATTACAGACTCGCGACTTGCTCCTGACTCACCACGACTCACCTCGACTCGACTCTCTCTTCCTCTCGGCAGTGCGGAACCTGGACCCGGGCATCTACTCGTTCCGTGTGTACGCCCACTCAGACTCCAGCTTCAGCGTTAGTCCTGTGCTGGAGTATGAGATCTCGGACCGGATACAGCAGAAGGCCATCACTGCCGCACTGGTCGGCGGTCTGCTGCTGCTCATCGTCTCCATCATCCTCTCCGTCTGCACCGTGAAAATATGCAACAAACGAAAACGAAGGAAACAAGAGAAGGGTGAGTCGGTGCTGGTTTCGGGGAGGTTTAAGTCTGGGAGATGGCGGAGAGCGGGGCAGACAGCCGGAGAGTTTTGGACGAGGCAAAGTCCGTCGGAATTGTTTGTTGCTCGAGTTGGGCCGACAGATTGTGAAGAATATGCTAATTCGAGCCGAGCTGTCGCAGGTTTTGATTTGGAGTTGACAGAACGGATAATTCGCATAACTTGATACTATTTCTGGCGGTCCATAGCCATAGCTTGCGTCGAGATTTGTATTATGCGCTATATGGCCAATTTATGTCTGCGTAAATTTCAGTCTGAACGCTTGGAAACTGGTTGTCTAAAATTTCACATCGATTTGAGACAAAACCAGCTACGGCGCGCGCTCGAAGCGGTTTCCGAGATTCCCTCAATGTATTGCGATCACATCTCCCCGCCTCGGACGCAAAACCCTCCTGGCGCGTTGACGCCAAATTAATCGCGGCAATGCTGGCGTGCCCATGTGGCCATCAGGCGCGGACGAACGCCGCTGTTTCTACTCGGGATCACCACTTAGGGCGCCGCCATAGATCATTCCCGGTGACCCCTGACATCTAGGTCGGTCACGTGACCTGGCCAAGGCGGCAGCTGCGCCAGCCTACACTAATCGCCCGGGGGCCCACTGCTGATCAGCCGGGACCGGAGCGGCGCAAAGTGGTCCCATCTGCGCTCACTCGCCGGCTTTTGGAGCTCTTTTTCCGCGGTCTACTTGCGTCTTGTTTGCAGCGTGTTTGTGACAAGTTTTCGGAAAAGCAATCGAACTTTACGCGAAGGTCCGAGCGCGGGCTTGGTTTTATCGACGGGAACGGACGCGGTATTTGATTAGCTCACGTCGGCGACTGTCAGTCGTGGTTGTGGCCGAAAACACTGCACTGTTCTCTGCGCTGTAACTCTGACCTGACGGACCGCGCCCTGTTTCAGAGTACAATATGGTGGCGTGTCGGGTCACCGAGGCTCGTAACGGTCTGCACAGTCCCGTGCCTTTGAAAAAGTAAGTCTGAGCTGGTCTCTGGGACAGATTCGCCATATCTGGGGTCGGTGAAGGGAGGCCAAGGGATACTTTGACTAAAAGAGGTGCTTGAACCGAAGGAGGCAGTTGGACCGGGAGGGACACTCGGACCGAGACTGTTCCGGTCTCGGTCGCCGCCGGCGCTCCCGCCGCGTCGGATCGCCGTCCGGGGGTCGTCAAGTGTTTGTGTGTTTGCTCTGGTGCGGTGTGCGGCGCCTGGGGCGGGATGCGAGTGTTTGCCTGGTGGTACAGCTCCGGTGACGGGTGCGCTCTCTCTTCTTCCCGCACGCCGCCGGTCAGGACACTCGAGAAAGGTGACGGACCAACACTAGACCATTATTAGACAAGGCCATGTAATTACCAGATGAGCTATTTCCTCTAGATGTGCCGTGGCTGCCTGTCCTCACCACCGCATGCTCAGAGGAACATGCTGTGCGTTTTGTCTCTACGTTCTATTCACTCATTCGTCCCGTGGAATGTTTTGGCTCATTTAGCTTTCCATTACGGTTCGTGCTACCTGAACCGGCTGGTTCTCAATGTGTTTGGAGACAGTCATGTAAATTGTAAGAAGATGTTTTGGCTCTAATATCCTGTTTTGTGCATGTTTTTCAGTGTAAGCCTACTAACCCAAGTTGAAATTCAGTAGAGACAAGATTAACAGCGTGGCGATAGATTGCACCAGCCAGCACGAATGATGCCAGCATCCCTACATTTTGCATGCCGACAGCCGCGTTCAGACTGAGTTATTCGCAATTCGATTTGGCTTCGATCGACTTGAAAATGAGTAATGCATATTGCATTTTAATTGTTTACACCAGCTAGCGTGTGCACTCAAATACTTTCTTAAGATGAAACGTTATTGGTGTTTAATTCAGCGTCCGCGTTTTCAACTGGCTGCTTGCATTCTCCTCTTCTCGGAAAGCCTTGCGTGCCGGTTTTGCTTTGATTTCAAATTGGCCAAGTTGGAACTGTTTTCAGGGAAATTGTGCACAATGGAAAGATTGACATTTTATTTCCTTGAACTTTAAAGACGAATGGCCTTTGAGATAAGGGTTCTTCCTTTGATTTCCTTTGTGCTCTTTCAATTTTATTGCTTGCGTGCGTTCAGATCTATAGTTTTACCAGGGTTTATTACATGCACGCACGGTGGACTTTTTGCACCCTGGCACAAAAAAAACACATACCTATTTATAAATACCACCTATGAAATTGTTCGACAAGCACGCCATCAACTATACAACCCTCTATCAAACCATTTTTCCTTCGAACTACCTCACAAACCTGTTGCAAAACATTAATCACCGCATGTTTATTGCGGACCAAATAAGTATGTATGTACAAAGCACTCGCCACCATTGCGGGTATACCGCCTTTCTGGGCCTACCGATTGGCCTTTCGGTCTGGCGGCGCGGCCAGCCGCTCCATCATAACCGTCGACGTCGTTTGTCACCGCTGTCGGAGGTCGTGTCCGGCAACGTCGGCAACGTCGGCGACGCGGATTACGCGCGCGCCGGCGGCCAGCGTCGATCACGACGAAGGAAAGGCGACGAAAGAGGGAGGTGACGAGCCGTGTGGGCGGCGGCGGCGGTAGCAATGGCGGAGGCATGAAGGGAGAGGGGCGCGATAGGGGTGGCAGAGGCAGGGAGAGAGAGGGGAGGGGTGGTGGGAGTGGTGTGTTGAGGGCGCGATAGGGGTGGCAGAGGCAGGGAGAGAGAGAGAGTAGTCGGTGTTGGGAGTGGTGTGTTTGCCCATGATCGGCTTCCGACGGTACCAGACTCACCGAGGCGCGGCGGTCCGACTCCTTCAATTTAATTCGGTCGTATTTTGCACCAGTTAGATAAGGGATGCGTCTCATATGTAAATGAAAAGACTTAATACTGAATCGATCTACATCGTATCACTCTGTGCTTTCACGGACGCGTCGCTGCTTGGACGTAAAATGATGTCTTTATCCGGTCCTGTGTAAATAAGCACTTTGCATATCGCCCGAGGCAGAGTCACTTAACAGCGTGAAAGCATTGCGCCCTAAAAGCTTTGCGGCGCTACTAAGCATACTTTAAACACATAATGGCTTGGGTAAACCGGATTAGGATTATCGATCTATGTTTAAATAATTCAGAGCATGTGTGGTATTTGAGCCGAGCTCCAATGTTCATTAAATCTGCTGGATGTACCATGCAGTGTCGTTTGTCACTACCGGTGAATTTTAGGCAGGTGTTCTGCCTGGAGGTTCAGAGGGAATGTTTGTTGTTTATTTGGAAGAGGAAATGTTCCATAGGATCAATTATTTAACACTAAGGAGAATAATTGTTGGTCGTCTAGCTTAATGTAAATATTGTTGTATATCAGCTGGATGCTTTATTAGCTGACTTGGGCTGTAGTCCCTGGACGTAAACTGAAATGAGCTGCCGGATATATTCCAAAGCAAATAGGAGAGCAATATTAAAAGCAATATTTAGCAAGCTGAACGGACCAGTGGCATCGCCATAGGACAGGGGGGTAAATCGTAATACGGCTTAGATGGCATCATAACAGGATAGGGAACTTGTTCGGTTACACATTCGCTATTCGCATGCATCGGTTCCATATTCCTCTGTTTGTAAGGAAGGAATACAACCAACTGAACTGAAAAAGGATAACTTCTCCAACAGCAATTCCAAAAGCTGTTTTTATTGCTATTTTCCGTCTCAGGTTTGATAAGAGAAAAGTATGTCTTCTCAAAAGCACTATAAAAGGGGCATTGAACTGGCGTCTGTTCTCTTATAAGCGACCAAATACAACAGCTCTCGTATTGGATAGCCCGTATATTTGGTCCAGCGTTTTCCGCTCCGATATTTATTCCACGACAAACAAGAAGATGCGAAAACAGACGTTTTAGGGCCAATATTGTCCAAAGCTCATTTCGGCCGTGCTTGCTAGTTGCTATAGCAGTAGTCTCATATCAGCCCTTGCGAACGAAACGTAATGCCGGTGCTAGCCCGATATTGGAGACAATTGCAGTGCACAGAGATGGGCATCGACGACGGATATTGAGAGCCCTTGATATTGCTTTGTTGTATTATGTAAGAAAAAGTACCGTGACTTGTAGAGACTTGTGCCTTATAGGGTGAAATTGTGTTTATTGCTTGAAAACGTTTTTTATAACAGGTGCGTGGTTATATAAGAAATACGCGAGCATCGGAAACGCCAGCCTCGAAAAATCAGCTAATGACACTGGATTGCGGTCTTCGGTCGCCCTTTTATCATTTGTAAGAAAAACGAACTTTGATGAACCAGTTATCATTTGCAGTGTAAAGAATGCGACAGAATGAGGCATACCACATCGTGAGGAGCTGTGTAATTGGAACTGCAGGCGTAATCTCGGTGATCCTTTTCGAGTTGATTCGGTGGTTTACAAATATGGCAGTGCTGCGTGGCCAGATTTGATAGGATTTGTTTCTAAAAGCGGCATCTCATTCAACTGGACGGTTAGGACAAGGTATTGCGGTACAGGACAATGCTACATTTCATAAGAGGTGCTCCTTATCAGAGTTGTTGAAATTGCGGCGGAACTACTCTTTTTAAGTGAATTGGGAGCGAGCTAAATAAATTTACCATACTTTTGTTTCGCTCATCCAGCACGCCACTAGGGCCTTTACTTGACACAAAAGAATGGTGCGTCGCCCAGCGAATCATACGACTTTCATAACACAATGCTCTATTCTTTAATGTATTTCAAGTGCATTGTGGGCCGACTTATTAGGTTCGTCGGAACACCTTTCCATAGCGGATTCGGCTTTCAGAACCCCGGCACGGCGACCAGGAGAGGCTGATATCAAAGTCCGTGAAAGTCGTCTAAAGTCCGCGGGAAGTCGGGCTGCAAAGTTAGCCAGCGTCAGGATTCGCCGGAAGCGTATTATTCTCGAGAGAGTGGTTTCCTGCCAGATGGGGTCTCAGCTAAATGAACGGTCTCTTTAGAGAAGGTGTCTGAGTGTGGAAATAATGGCAATTTTAAATCGCGGGCTTGTAATAAAAAACACGTTGATTATGAGGTCGATTAATTTTGGGATCGATGGACACACGCATATTTAGCGTTAGCATTGCTCCAAATTGGGTATGATGCTAATCTTGTTAACTATAATAGTATGCTAATTGCCAAAGTTAAATGCGTTTAGAGTGAAACCACTTCTGGCAATGCCTGACAAAGCTACGCCTATCAGCTCGACACATTTTCACTGGAATCGGTGGATAACTTCGTTGCTTTGGCTTTCATGAATAATCAGTACACATTAGTGAAATATACGCAGAATCATTCAGTATATGTAGACACTATACGCCAAGACATAGGTATTAGATGCTAAGAGGTTAGTCGCAACTTGCAGCTGCTATTCATTTGTGATAAGGTATGATCAGCAGGTTTCTGGGAAGTTTGTGTCAAACGTGCGTGTTCTTACCACAAACATTAAGCAAGCTACATGAAGAGGCTTACAACAGCCGGAAAACCAACAAACCACTCGTCTTTCTACATTCTTAGTCGCGTGTGTACCTTTCTGCGCGCGAGCGCTCCAAATCGTCCCCCTCCCTCCTAGCGCGTGCTCATTAGTCATTACCCTGTAAACGACCGTCGCTCCCCGGACAATGGCCGCGCCGTAAGGCGGCGTCCGGGGTCGCTCAGACGTCATCTGCTGCTCATGACTGTCTGATGACGTCCCCACGTCATTGACTTCATGATGGGCGTCACCGCGACTCTGGCCGGCCGTGATGAGGCCAAACGACCACCGAAATCCGACCGTCATGAGCTGCGGCCGCCGCTGTCACCTCCGCTCAGTGTGAGCTCGAGTAGTCTCAGTTTGGTTTGACAATCTCTCATTGCCCTCAATGACAGCGCGTCGGACGATACGGCGCGTGGGCTTGTTTCCCATCACGTGACACGTGGCTCGACAAAGGCTGTCGCCATTTGATGGGTCACGTGATGGCGGTGAAATTGAGTGTCATCTGCAGCGCCACCGTGTCAGGGTCGATGCGGGCGTATTTTACAAATTAGGTCGGATTTGAGGGAGGTGCTGTCGTGAACGGTACTCCTCACGACAGTAGCGCACGTCTTTGACGACCTGTCAACGAAACACTGTTATCGGGATCAGGTGCTCTAAGGGAGAGGGGATTATTTAGTTAAGATATTCATTATTCAGGCTCTTCCACTGAACACTATGGTAATTTTGATTATTTTTTCCTTTTGAACTATTATTTTGTTGTTTTTATTCTCGACAATCCTGTTGTTTAATTAATCAGGGATAGGTTATTATGCATGTTGCTGTGCAACTGAAGCATGTTTGGAGCTCACTATAAATAAGTTCAAAGCTCCGATCAGAACAAGTAATTACAAAATTCTCCAGAACCTACTACTAAGAATCCAAGCTTCATTGGGCAAACTCTTAGATAGGTGATGGGCAATATTGGGCCGAGCCTCTGTACACAGCAACTATAACGGAAAACAGCTTGCACGGTATCCAATTATATCTCCGAGCTCGAAGTTGTTTGCCGTTCGTCTCATCGAGCTGAGTTTCACTGTAACTAGAGCACTGATGGACTTTGATTGGGGTTCGATGACCAATTTACCCCGACCCGCCACCCTCCTTCGCCTTTCCTACGTCATCTTCGCATAAACGGGGATGTCAGTGGAGGAAGTCGTTCACTTACAACTTAACGTCGTCACGCCTACATCTCTGTCGTTTTTGTTTAAATTTGTATGGTTTATTAAATTAACCCGCGCGGGGCTGGGGTCTCCAGCCGAACGCGCGGGGCTGGGGGGGGTAAATTTTACCCCCCTGTTATCTCCCGAACTAATGGTCCGATTTAGAAAATTCAAACGCCAATCGAAAGCTCTCATCACGAACTACTAAAAACATGTACTTAATTTAAAGTTTGAGGTCAAGGTCAAGGTCAGGTCAAGGGTACAAATTGCAAGTTTCTACAGTATCGGCCTTGCACCGTAGTTGCCGAAGAATGGAGTCATGGACTGAGACTGATCGCCCAAAACGTGTTCTTAGGCTACCAAGACAATATTCATTGCATACAATATCATTCAGAGGTCAAGGTCAAGGTCAGGTCAGGTCAGGTCAGGTCAGGTCACCAAAAAACAAAATATAGAAAAGGGCATGTGCGACACATGTTTTATGGGTCATTTTACTCATAGAATTCAATAGGCACACTCAATAAGTGATATGGACCACCTCTGGATGAATTTCAGGTCGAGGTCAGGTCAAGTGAGGTCAAAGTTTGAAGTTGGTTGTTAAGGCCTAAAAAGGTGTCTATCTGATGCAGTTTTTCACGGCGAATCGAATGGTGCTATTTTTGTTTCCGTACGAGGTCTAGAACTTCCAAAAAAGTCATTTTTCAAAAAAATTGTGTGTCGTGACGTCATAAAATTTTTGAATAACTCCCGTATTTTTGAACCGATTCTTCTAAAATTTGGTATGTAGGTGCACATAGACCACTTCTCTGACATATATTCCGGTTTTTTCGATAGACTCAAAATTTTGTATTTTATAATGATTTTCCCAAAAAAGTCAGTTTTTTGAAAACATTTAGGTCAAAATCCAAAATTTTCAAAAAACCGAGATAGCCATTTGATAGACAAAGTAAAATTACGTATAACCTTTTTTGTTACGTCTTGATTGCTTTAAAAATGAAGATGTTAGCGGCGTTTGAACTTTTGCCGTTTTTGAGGCGAAAATGGCGAACATGACGTCACTAAAACGTCAATTTCTCAAAAAATTTCCGACGGATTTCGCTCAAATTTTCAGGGAACGTGTCATGATGTAAGAAAAGGTACTAAATGTTTGGCGGCGCTGCGCGCCGCCTTTTTTGAGATATCGCAAAAATTCGCGAGGGGGGGGGTAAAATTTACCCCCCCAGCCCCGCGCGGGTTAAGGCAACATAATAGCCCCAGCAAATCACCGTTTATATCATTTTTCATGGATCGATCTATTTGATACGGTAACCATTAATGCTATGTTTGCATTATGCTTGACTAAACGTTGATTGATATCCAAACCTTTCTTGTCAGATTGTGACTGAATTATGGGCATCGGGGAATATATGCTGTCAAAACCGGCCATCATCATTCAGTTTTAATCTAGTGTTTATCCTAAAAGCTTCACCGAAATCCTTCAACCTTATCCAGCCTGTTCAAAACGTTAAGCCCACAGTCCGCTGCAAATTGTAATGGCTTCCTCAATTCGAGGTGTTGATTTCAGTTTAATCTTCAATACAGATGTTTTCTGCCCACATCGATTCCCGATCTTGTTTCGCAGCAGCGCGGCGATGCCTTTTTGCGGCCGTCCGTCGGGCTGAACACCCTCCGGGGACACATCTGTCTTCATTTTTGGACGAGCACTTTTTCTGCCGAGCTCTGTAAATGCGAACTCTGCGTGGTGGTGGTGGCCACCGCTGTTAGGTTTACATTTGTGGGACCCCGCGACGGGGACGATATTGGACGCTGTGTTTAGAGTGCAGTGTCGGGCCGAAGTTGTGCTGTTGTTCCCGGTTGTTGAACGGCCGGAGTTCAGGAACACGAGCCGCTAGTCTCCCTCTCAGCACCTTCTCAAACATCTCAAATCCAATAGATAAATTGATTATATTCGATTGTTTCACCTTTTTACAACCAGGATCTTTTTTCTTCTGCTATTATAAAGACTCGCCCAACAGGAACATACGAGGTTCCTCCAGCATTAAGTTCTTTTGTAGATATAGCCTCAGTAGGCTACAGCATCCGTCATATAATCTTCCAGCCTCGGAATAACATTCACCAATACCTCTTTTTGTAGCTGTTGGCATTCGTCGGATTATAGCCACAAACACATCTCAATGCTCAATGAGGAGAATTGTGAGGGACGTTTTTCATATATGCTGTTTAATGGAATACATGCACGAGGTACGTGATTTAATCTAGGACATCCATAGTCTCATCTAAACAGGAATTTTGCATTTCGTGTTGTGATTCCCTACAGCCGAAAGGTATGCATGTAATGGCGCCCGTCTGTGACAGAGATGATAAATGCGGCTCTGACCGCATAATGCAGCCTACATGATGTGCCTGGTTAGGTATTCCTTCTTGCCTCGGGATTTTTCCTGAAATGTAGTACTTAACGGATACCAGGCTGCATTCTGGGGGATACAACGGCACTGCAACTTTTTGAGATCCGATCACTTTGCAGTAAAACGGGTGGAAGACGAATTTAATCGACGCTTTATTGAAGAAGTTCTCTGAAAATATACAACTGTTCCTTCGCATTCTGATGCCAAACCAATGCTTATACGAATGCGACTATGTGTGTAAAAATGCAAGTGTCAGCAAGGCCGTTCCGTCGCTCATTACGTTGTAAAAAACACTTTAACTCCCGACGTTTCGCTGTTTATGTTAAAAAGAATGCGACTATTTTGCATGTTTGTGATTCTGTTGTTTTGCATGTCTCTGTTACTTTTGTAAGTTACTTTTGCGTAACATGCATGCAATGCGACTATCAAAACATATATATAACATCAACTGCATGTCTTTTCTTCAATTCGCTTCACTGGGTACTAACATTGGCTCAATGATTAAATGAACTTTTTAACTACATATGCATCGTGCAATGTAAAAGTTCCAACGTAAGATCTCAGTGTCATTTATCACCGCCCATCACCCGTCCAAACCCCGCCCTGAATCGGGGCCCCGTGCTAAGTGTGACCCCCTCCTCCCTCCCTACATGTCTCACATCGCCCGCCGTGTCGCCGTGTTCACAGCCTTGTCCGCCGAGTACCGGGTCTGATTCGGCACGCCAGCAACCTTCTGTACCGGCCGCGGCTCTCGGCCGGCCTCTCGCAGAGTCTCATCGACGATCTGGACCTGACGCCGCGCCGCGCCAAAATGGTCTACAGCGTCGAGATGGAGTACAGCCAGCCGCTGGCCTGGATCGCGCGCACGCCAGACGGGCGCTTCGTCGTCAACGGTGACGATGACGGCGGTTTTCTGACGCCGAGCGGTGAGCGTCGGCGGCGGCTGCGGCAGGCGGCGCGTCCGCTCCAGTCGGGGATCTACCACGTCCACCCGCGCCGCTCGCCACGGACCCCGGTGCCGGCTGGACGCAGGGTGAGTCACGGGTTCGGCAAACACCAGATCCCCGAGCACGCGCCCACCTCGCCCGTGGCGCTGTCACCCGACGGCCGCCGGTTCCGCGCCTCCTCGCCCGGCCCTCTGGCCGGCCAGCTGGGGCCGTTCGAGTTCTCCGACCTGAGCTCGGTGGCCGTGCCCGGTTCGATAGAGAGGACGTTTCCCAGCACGGTGCTGTCGTCTGGGTCCCAGCCGTCGCAGGGGGCGACCCCGGCCACCGGAACGGCGGCGGCGATGGTGCATCGGCGCGACGCGGCGCCGCAGGAGACGCCGCGGCGGCGGCCCGACCCGCGACTGCCGGCTCTGCGGACCATCCATGAGGCGGCGGCGGCCGGCGCGTCACCCCACTACGAAAACTGGCCGGTGGAGGGCCGGTGGCGCTCCGCAGTTGCCGGCCCGGCCGACACCCGGCTGCTGCGGCTGCTCGACCCGCGACTGGCGTTCCGCGACTCGGGCCAGCACGTGCACACGGTGGGCCACATCGAGCCGCCGCGGATAGCGGACATCCCGCGGCCGCGGCCCCGGCAGCGGCCGCAGCCTGTGTACGCCAACGTGCCGCGCTGGTCGGCGGCCGGTGGCGACCCGTACCGGCCCCAGAGACCGCTGGCCACCAGCTCACCGCCGCCCGTGGCGGCCATCCCGCCGGCGCCGCGCCGCTTCGTGTCCCGCGCGGAGCCGCAGGCGCCGGTGCCGCGGCCGGCGGCCGTGCCCGCGGTGCCCGCCGTGCCGGTGGGGGTGGGGGTGCCCCCGGTCGCCGTGCCGCCGGTCGCGGTGCCCCCGGTAGCGGTACCCGCCCGGACGACCACTGAGGAGTCGCCCTCCAGCTCTCTGGGCCGCACGGACCGGCCGCTGGCGTACACCCGCGATCGGCTGCAGGCCGCCATCGGCCGGGTGCGCTCCCAGCTGGGTCTGCTGCGACCGGCCAGCGCGCCGGCGCTCTCCCGCTGGCCAGAGGACGAGCTGCCGCCGCACGAAAAGTCCAGCTCCAGCGGGCTGGGCTCCAGCAGCAAAAACACCTCGCAGCGGACCCACTCGTCGTCGGGTCTGTCTCAGCAGCTGGCCGACTCTCAGCTGACGGAGCCGCCGCCGTCGCCGCCGCCGCCGCCGGCGCTGCCGCCCTCACTGCCGCCCACCCACTGGCGGCCGGTGGAGCGGCCGGGCACTCAGCTGCCGGCCCAGCTGCCCTACCTGCCTCCCTACCTGCCGCCGCCCGCCTACCTGCCGCCGGCGCAGCCGCTCGACATCTCCGTGGACGACCATTACGAGTTCGACCCGGTGCTGACTCCCGGCACGGAGTCTCCGGGTGGAGCGGCTCCCGTGCTGCCCCGCTCGCGAGTCCGGCCCGTTCCGGAGATGGAGGCGCGCGTGCAGGCCATGAGGCAGGAGTTCCAGCGGTACCGACAGCGTCGCGCGCGCCGGCACCGCAGTGGAGACGAGCCGGTGACGGAGACCGTTTGCTGAGAGGCGCCCGCCGCCCACCCCCTGTGTTCGCACATACGCTACTGCCATTCTGCTTTACGTTAGCCACCACAGTACAACCCGCGTGCTTTTGTTCAGCGCGTTGCTTGCGCTCGCCGGTGGTTCGGGGGTTATTGTTTGTTTGGTTGGTGTATTGGTTGTTGGTTCGATTGGGTATTCTTGCGATGTTTTGTTCGTTTTTTATCTCGATTTTTCGCCCGGCATTTTGTTCGAGTGTTTGCGATTTTGTTGCGGCAGCTGGTGAGATTTTTTGTTGCGTCGTTATCGCGTGTGACCTGCATTGTCGAGGCATTGCATTTGCGTTCCTTGGTTCAAATGTGACAGCTTTAACGCGGCGGCGGCGGCGGCGGTCGGCCGGGCTCGTCTGCTGGCCGTGTCTCCTTCGAGCACGATCCTGTGATAACTGACGCGCCAGAGAGGCCCCTCTCGGAGCCCTGGGTCCCCGCGGGGCCCACCAGGTCGGGGAGGGTCTCATCGGACCCCGGACTGGCGCCACAACCTGTACATAGCGCGAGATTCGTCGCGACGTCATACAAGTCTGTGTACATACCGTCTTTTGTATCGCTGTTCGCGTCCCGTCCCCCGTTCCCCAGTAGTCGTTTTGAACGCAGTGGCCCATCGTACCGGTCGACGCGGCCACCCTCCACCCAGTTCGACGGCCGCGACTGCCGCACGGTTGCCTAGCAACCAGGGCCCCATCCGTTGATCTCCATGGCGACGGGTGGACCACTGCCGGCCAGTTAATTCCCGGTCCGGACCGGACCGGACGCCCCCCCCCCCCGTGCGGTCTCCTGACTAGGTGCACCGCTCGGACCCGCCGCTCGCTCGCGACCCCTCTCCCCCGCGGCTCCCACTCAGTGACATGACCCGTGCAGTCTAGTGCTAGCTCGAGTGTGTGGGCCGCCGTGCCGGCGGCTGGCGGCGTTGTTTTGTTGAAGCGGTTCGCGCTGTCGGCCCGGACTCTGTTCACGTTTGGCGCGGGCCGTGCGCCGAGTATGTGTTTCTCTTCCCTCGATATTACCTCACGGGCATGCTGTTTTAGTCACTGACGCAACGAATGCTCAAGGCGTGGGCCGGTGGGGTCACGGCGGCCGGACCGAATCACCTTTGCTTGGCGTCGCATGTATTATATATTGTACCACTTGTCAAATACAGTGTTCTTTTGTACAAGGATCGCCAGCGTTTTTACGGGGTGCTATGAACTGGAGCCTTGGAAACTGTTACCTTTGGTAAATGGGTAACAGTAAGTAGCGGCGGAACACCTTCAATTAAGGGGGGTCGGGCACTGACGACTTTTGGTTCCATTCTTTCCATGCAACACCCATAGGGCTAATGTTAAAATGCCAAAATCAAAGGGGGCACGGTGCCCCGGTGCCCTCCCCGTTCCACCGCCTATGGTAACAGTTTGGGGAAACGGCTGGTAACCTTACTCGCCAATGAACGAAATCACGGTAATTGATGCCCTATCTACGTTATTGTGGGCAATAGTCATTTCGGTGCTATCAGAATGAAGCAACTGGAGACATACAGCAGCATCAGCCCCAATTGGCTGAATGACCCCACCCCAATTGGCTGAATGCTGGATGGTGGGTGCTTCAGTCTCCAGTCCCTTGTCTATTGCATCCGTCCATCTGTTTTCTCTTGTTTTTTTTGCCATTGTATCAGCTGATGAAAGTTGCCAATTAATGTGTGCTCTTGTGCCAGGTGGTGTGTGCCATTTTATCAGGTCACAGGTGAAGTGTGTCTTTGTATCAAGTGATGTGCGTTGTTGTACTTACCAAGTGATGTGTGCTGTTGCATCAGTTTATGTGTGCTGGTGTGGCAACTGATGTGTGCTGTTATATCAATATATGTGTTCGGTTGTGTTGTGTGCCATTTTATCAACTGCTGTGTGCTAAGGTATCATGTGTTCTGTGTGCCAACTGACCACTGAGTGTGCTGTTGTGTCTGCCGTTGTGAGCTGATGTGTCAGTCTTTGTGTCGTCCTTTGTCTGGCGTCGTGTCAGCTATACAAGCCTGAGCGATGAACTCTCAGATAAGCCGTCACCGCCAGGCCAGGCCACGGAAGCAGTGCTGCAGACTGACGTCCCGTCGACTTTTCCGTCCGTCAAGGAAACAAAGCACCATCACAGTCACGAGCAACAGCGCTGCACGATAAATAAATAGCAGGATGCATGGTGACGGGAATTTAATTCCTGTCAGCAGGATAAGACGTTTTGCCGCCGTGGCTCCGGGCTCGGGTTCTATGGAAACCGCGGTCGGTAGGTCGCTTCAGAGATGGAGCGAACAATTTGTTTTGCAGCTGGGAGATGATCAAATTACTTTGCCGTGCAATAGGGTGTTTGTTGCCTCGGATACTTCGAGGAATGAAAAATATAGTGAGGAAGGATACTATGCTTTAGGAGGATGACACACCTATGAAATACGCTGCGATTGGGTGGATGGAATTTTCATCTTTAGGTACACTACGTCATGATCCATTGTGGATAGTTATTACTCGTCTTGTATATAACTTATTGATTTATGCCATTCCATTCGATTTGTTTGCTTAGAAATATCAAATCACGAAACAGTAGAATGTGCTAACAGGAAACATCTGCACAAAAAACGTGCCCAACATGGCATTCATTATAACACAGCTGGGTACAAGTTGGAACTTTAAATCTCCGTTCACCAAGCTCAGATTTGAGGAGTAAATAGAATGGGCGTTGACTCGAGTCGATCGAACCTCCGAGTAGGGCAACGCAGAACGCCACATCTAGTATTCTCTGGCGGCCGTGACGGTCCTTGGCCATCAGTATCGGGCTGGTTACTCGGATATTCACATATTCAGGTAGCGTACCGACCAATCTCGGACCAGACGGGAGCCCAGACTGTCGGCGGGTTCGGCGGCTAGAATTATTGGCCCGATCTGGACTGTGCTCTATCGTTCCCTCTGTTACCGAACATTGCTATAACGGGTATTAGCATAGACAGATCATTTGGCGCTGCTGCTTCAAGGAATCATTTACATTCGATACTGCAATTACCGTGTAGATTTTGCATCAGGATGATCATCAGAATAATGATGGCCTCTTTGTGACATTTGATATCATGTAGTTGATTACAAACGAAATCAAATGTAAGCCACTTTGGAATAGTCGTGGGAAAAATGATTTTCATCAGTGATCAATTTCACTTTTAAGTATCACGCAATATGTGTCGCCAGTTTCCATCTTAAGCATCACGATATTCGACTGTTTTGATTTAGATTAAGGCGCTCACGTCAGCCACAATTACTGTGGACCGACATGAATGACTAAGCTGGAAAATTGGGAGAGACAAGAAATCGTGAAAGGGTGGGATAGAACAAAAAAAAAAAACAGAAGCAAATGGAAGGTGTAGACAACCACTTCCCCCATGTCACTGGAGGCTGAGGCTACCAAATGACGTCTGGTCGCACAAAAAGTGTCTGTTTTTACGGCCAGGCTCATGTCAGTGATGATCCACAGTAATACACCACATCGCACCTACACAGAAAACACTACTAAGAGGATTGCGACTTGTGTGTCTTCTCGGCCGTACATGAATGTGTCAGCGACCTTGCAACTTTAGATTGGCATGCGCTTCGAGAATTGGTTGTTATTATAAGAAGCGGTTCTTGTGTGCCGTATTTTGCCAAAACGATCGGCTAATCAGGGGTTGTCAATAGTCGTTTTCTCGACGGGCTATCCGGCGATTGCACCTGATTTGACCAAATCTGCACCTAATTTTTTACAGCAAATATCTTCATTTTATGAATTTATTTCAGTGTTTTAATCGATGATGCTTTCTGATAATATGACAAAGCAGGCATATAAGCAATTAGTGCAACCCTAGCTGATAGCTGCTAAGAGACACACTGAACCTGATTTGACCAAATCTGCACCTAATCTGTACCAGATGTGCACCAAATGTGTACCAGATGGCCGTCGTGAAAACGGCTAATATTAGCTGTTTTCACGACGGCGATATGCTACACATTTGGTGTAGATTAGGTGTAGATTTGGTGCAGATTTGGTTAAATTAGGCTCAGTATGTTTCTGTTTAATTAGTTTTGGTTGCACAGATGCTTATACACCTCGTTTTTTGTATCATCAGACATTATTTTGGATTAAAACAAAGACAAATTCATGCTGTGAAGATACTTATTGTAAAAGAGATTTAGTGCAGATTTGGTCAAATTAGGTGCATTCGCCAGATAGCCTCTCGTGAAAAAGGCTATTGCCTTCTGCCGATTGGCTGTGCTTCGTTCCGGTGCATAGCTGGGCGCCATCTCGCCTTGGTCATGTGGGCTACATAAAGCTGGATATGGGATGTCGTGTAACACTTTTGTTGGACCGTACCTTACGAGTATTCTCTTTTAGGGGCGCCTGCTGTTCTGCGGCACATTCGACATAAGATGGAACGTTACACAACATCTCCTGAGTCAGTCATCCGGCCCAGGAAAACAAAACATTTTCAGTTTGCAAGTTAACGTGTAACTTCGCTTGCGATTTTTCTACCATGGATTTTTTATACATATATTTCTCTTTCTAGCACGCTTTGTAGGTACCTCCCACTTCGCCCTGTTGTTTTTATGCCGTCACCTCTCCGCCACCCTTCCCCTCTCCCTCTCCCTCTCGCTCCCTTCTCGCCACCTCTCTGCTACCCCCTCCTTCTCCCTTTCACACGGTCGGCACACGCCGGCTCCTTTTCCTTTGTCGGTAATGGCTCGCCATTGATCCCTGGCGATGAGACCTTGGCTAAGTCGTGGGACAGTCAGCCATCGCCACCACCGCGCGCCATCCGCCCTCGGAGACAGCTGCAGGGCGCCGGACGGAGCACTGGCAGACGTCCCACGCAGGCCCCGGTCGAGTTGTAACCGAGTCCCTATCCGAGTGAATGTCGGCCCGACTGAGCCGTCCTCTCCATTTCCCGTCTATAGGAGAGCGAGTGTTTGTCTCCGGTCTCTCTATTCCTGTCGAGCCGCGGAAATGGGTGTGTCTGCAGGGAGGACGTCCGCCGGTTTCGGCAGCAGTTTTAACCCACTGTGCGTGACCGGGTGGAGATGGAGGCGGGCCCCTCGCGCTGGGTCGCCCGGGGACCATATATCCTGCCCGTGTCGCCGCCGGCTGACGACCGATAAGGGGCCTGCCGCGGCGGCCACCTGTATTTGCACAATGCACATGGAGACAAAATACAAAGTAGCGTCGTTTACTGTGTACAATAGCAAGAATTGAGTTTCCTTTACGACCATGGAGAGAGAGCATAAGAGCGTTCGAGTAAATTGAGATAAAGTATTCGAGCATATTCGCGTGCCACCAGCAATTCGGATGAGCTCGCACTTTCGCGACCTCATTTCGACGACGATTCGGTGGCGCCTTTGCGTAGGTTTCTCGTTATGTCCATTGACCCGGGTCGGTCGTCAGTGGCGCGGTGCATCCGACGCGCATCAGACAGGCCGCTTCCGTGATGGCCGGCGTTGCCATGGTTACCGAGGATTTCCGGCGGCCGACGGGCGGCCCTCCTGGCTGACGTCGTTAATCATGGACCGGGCCGCGGTGACGCGCGCATCTCAGTCATTGTGCAGGCATGACACTTCTGTGAATTCTTGCTCATTCTGTCTGTCTGTCTGTCTGTCTTTCTCTCTCTGTCTCTGTCTTTGTCTCTGTCTCTTACTCTCTCTTTCGCTCTATCTCTCTCTTCTCTCTCTCTCTTCTCTCTCTCCCTCCCTCTCTCTCTCTCTCTCTCTCTCTCTCTCTCTCTCTCTCTCTCTCTCTCTCTCTCTCTCTCTCTCTCTCTCTCTCTCTCTCTCTCTCTCCGCCGAGTGGCATTAGATTTACCGTGCGGTGTGCGCCTTTCAGCTAACATCAAAGATCTGTTAGGGATGAACATTAAGACAAGGGAGCAAGTGCGTGGACTCTTGCGGAGATATTTCAGAGCCATCCCAGAAAATTTGAGAAAGAAACGTCATAGATCCCGGATTTTAAAGCGATATCGAACAATAATGGACCCTAGAAGTTTTATTTTCCATGTTCATGGGAGCTACTTACAGACCATACGTAATCGGGCAATTTTTGCTTTTTATTGTTATGTTGAATGCTCACATTTTTACGTAAAGTGAAAGGTTGAGCCAGACACTTTGCATTGCATCAGTGTCCTCATTTTGCTAT